GTTTAAAGGAAATGAAAGTTAATATCTATATCGCCAAGGTGCATCTTCCTTTTTTGTGACTCAATTATAGGAACTTCATAGTTAAACGTCTTTATTTGGAGTAATTTTATGTTGGGTAACTTCCTAGGAATTTCCATGACCATGTCACAGTATGTAGAGAAATGTCGGGGCCATCAGGAGTCAAATACAAATTTCAAATATTAAGAAATATTAAGAACTGTAAACATGCACGAAATGTCATCATCCATACAAGGATGTCTTACCTTTATTTGAAAAATAAGAAATACTTATGGCATGCCCTTAGGCTTGAGTATTTAAATAAATACTCGGTAAGTAATCTCACTGTTGGGATCATGGAGTGCAATCATATGCAATATAGTAGAACCTATCCTTTCATAGAAAAACATCATGGGATGCCCTTGGGCTCCACTTTCTAGTATCGGCAAGGTTGGATGTGTAGTATTTCCCTAGACACAACCCACATAAGCCCGCAAGGCAAGATCATATACATACTCCCTACACTTGACTCGTCAAGCAAACGCACAATCGCGCTACTAGATATCACTAAGGGAAACATGACGAACATAAATATCATAAGATGCATGTCCATACTAATCATAACGAGAAAGTATCTCGATGCACATGACATACATAAATACATGAGGTCCACATAGCTTAAACTCATGACTTTAGCTTATGATGTAATTCATACTTCAATTCACTCATGACATAATGAGCCTATGAGACATGCATTTGTAAAACTTGTCATATCTTGCGTACTTAACATATATGGCTTTCTCATGTCTTAGAGGTATCAAGTGAACGTGTTAACATAGTTTCACAACATGACATAAGCATATCATACCTATAACATAATATCACATCACTGATGCTAACACTCATAATCATGACACATATCATCGTCCAACCAAACTAGTAGTGAAGTCATTACCTAGTTCGCTTAAGCCGACATTACTAATATATACTTGATGCTAGTTTGAAACTTCCCTTTGAAGTCCAACTCAACCTATGAGGATCCACGACATCAGGTTAGAATATGTCAATGAGCTTAACTCAGCTAAAGATACTTGATTTCTTCCGAGAATTCTCTTTTTTCAATTATTCTTTTCTTTGGCCATATTTTCACTCGACTTTTGCTACTCTCGATTTTGGCCTTATACATATCTAAATTTTATGATCGACTATAAAAACATATTTTAAATAATTAAGGATCCTTTTTAAAAGATAAAAAATAAAAAGTAAAAAATAAAAAAAATTATTTTAAAAATACTTAAATACCCGTTTGAAAGTCAAGAGTAATAAAATAAAAGAAAAGGAATTCAAATCTTAATTTAAAAAATTGAAAAACAAATACGCACGTGAAATATTTAAAATCAAACCAATTGAATGGTCTAATTCATTAATAATTAAATAATTAAATAATTAAATAAATACATATATAGAGAAACAATAATTATACGACTTTTTATAAAAAGAAATAATTTCAATGTTCATCAAATATCCTGAGTTTAATCAAATATCCTGAGTTTAATAATACTGATTAAACAAATATTATTTAACTACAATCTTTTAAGGATCTAATAACAACAATTTAATAATTAAGTTTTAAGACGGAAAACAATCAATTTTTAATTTACAATTAATCGTAAAATTGTGATTTTTATAAATATTTAGGGTTTAATTTTAACACTTAAAAAATAATTTAATTTTTAAATAAATTAGTCCAAAATTCTTTGGAAAATGAATGATAATGGACGGCAGAGGATGGGAATCGTCGAGATCACTATCCAATATGAGCCGTTGGATTTGAAGGCGTGTTTGGTCCGCGTCTTCAGCGCGTAAAACTTCACCCACGGCGCCATTAAAATTCAAACTGCCTTTATAAATTGTAACAAAATAATAATAATAATAATAATAATAATAATAATAATAATAATAATAATAATAATAATAATAAGAATAATATTAATTTTTTAATTTCTTAACCCTAAAATATTAAAATAAATACGGAGAACTAATTGTGACAATTATTTTTATGGCTTAATCAAATTTGATAAATTTATTTTTAATGCTTCCATTAATATTTTATATTTTATATTTTAATTTCTAAGCTTAGTACATCAAATATTGTAACCTCGTGTACAGAATTATATTTTAAATTTCAATTATATTAAGATTACTATAAAAATAATTAAAAAATAATCAACCAAACAAAAATATTTAAAAATTGAAAGGCTAAAATAAAATAAAAATAAAATTTTAAAAGTAAAAAGAATATAGAAGACCCAAATATGTAATATTAAATATTATGTTTGGCGTTTTATTTTTTCTGGCCTTTTTGGACATTTCCCCCTTCCAAATTTCAACAACCGTAAATACGCGGTCCGTTTTTCTCCCAATAAAATCCTCTGCTCCCGTTAGGGTTCTCATCATTCAACTCCCATTTTCTCTCTCCCTCTCTATGTTTCTCTCTCTACTTCCCATCTTTCGATACTCTCAATTCGACTTTTTCAAATTCCGATCCACTTCTTGTTTTCAGTTTCCTAGTTTCGATCCAATTTTCAGCTCCTTTTGTTCATGTAACAATGCCTGCCTCTGATTTTCAGGGTTCTTCGTCGCCGTTAGCCAACATTGGCCGTTCCATCTTCAGTATTCGGCGTGATCAAGTTCATTCCATGGAGAACGGCTCCCACGACGGCATTTCCATGGATTCCGACCTCGATTCATTCCAGAAGCAGGTCACTCAACGGTTCCTGGACTTGTCGTCGGCTTCTGCCGATGACATTTTGTCGCTCTCGTGGATTAGGAAGCTTTTGGATGCTTTCATTTGCTGCCAGGAGGAGTTCAAGGTCATTTTGTTTGAGCATAAGGCGGAAATTTGTAGACCGCCCATGGATAGGCTGGTTTCGGATTACTTGGAGAGGAGCGTGAAGGCGCTTGATGTTTGTAATGCGATTAGAGATGGGATTGAGCAGCTGAGGCAGTGGCATAAATCGTTGGAGATTGTGCTTAGTGCTTTGGATAATTGTAGTCACAAGAAGAATCTTGGTGAGGGCCAATTTCGCCGAGCGAAGAAGGCTCTGATAGATTTGGCGATTGCAATGCTCGATGAAAACGATGCCAATTCCACGGCCATTTCTCAGAGAAACCGTTCTTTTGGACGCAACAATGGTACCAGAGACCGCAGGTCTTTAGGGCATTTCCGTTCGCTTTCGTGGAGTGTTTCGCGCTCCTGGTCGGCAGCCAGGCAGCTTCAGGCAATTGGGAGCAATTTGGTTGCTCCGAGGGCGAATGAGCCTGTGCGTAGCCTTGCGATCCCTGTTTTTACGATGAACATGATATTGCTCTTTGTAATGTGGACTCTGGTGGCGGCGATTCCCTGTCAGGACCGCGGCTTACCACATTTTTCGCTGCCCCGGCAATTCGCGTGGGCGGCGCCAATGATTTCTCTTCACGATCGGATTTTGGAAGAATCGAGAAAGCGGGAAAGAAGAAATGCTTGTGGGCTGTTGAAGGAGATTCATCAGATTGATAAATTTGCGCATATTATGAATGAATTGGCGGATACAGGTCACTTCCCGTTGACGAATGATAGGGAAGAAGAGGTGAGGGAAAGGGTGCAGGAGCTATCTCAGATTTGTGAAGCATTGAAGATTGGCTTGGACCCTCTGGAACGGCAGATTAGAGAGATGTTCCATCGAATTGTTCGCTCTAGAACGGAGGGGCTTGATTGTTTAGGACGAGGAAATAACCCTGAATAGAAATGCTCAGATTATTGCAGATTACAGAACATCTTCAAAGTTGGCTTCCAGCCTTGTGTAATGTCATGGACAATGGACGAGTATAATAAACAAAAGGGTAAGAGGCTTTTGTTTGTATTGTTCAATGTATATCGTGCAAGGAAATTAGATACGGAATGTGACTCTCACATTCCTCAATGCTTACTTTTTTTTTTCTTTCCATTTTGGTGGGTTGGGGGGTTGGAGCTTGTACAATCCTATTCTGTCTACGTTACATCTTCGTTGATGTAGGTGTTCTTTGTGATATTTATTACATGGTAAATACAAACAATTTGTGTTGAGGTAGGCATATCTTTTGATGAAATTCTGCGTTATTCTCATTGGCTGCAATGGTTGTTTGATTGATTAAGAATAAGGAGATGGCTTCCTAACGGCCAATGGTTGGATATGATCTTTAAGTGCTCTCTGCATATATAATGAGTTCCACTTGTTTCGCCAGTTCTTTTGACTTATGGATTACATTGGATGCAAAACTTTTTCTCATTCTTCCATTTTGCAGGGAATTTGTTCAAAATTGTACGCTGGATTACCCTGCTTCTGCGAAACTGACATTCGGGAGGACACACACACGCACACACACTGTCTCTGTCTCCCTCGCATTACAATTCTTTCAAAATGCATCGATCGTTTAACTTTCAGCTATTTAATTCTTGGGAGAAAGAAGAAAGATAAAGCATAGGAATGAGGAAGTGTGTGGCATTGACTCATGGTTGTGTGAGGAAGGATAAAGGGGAATATGAGATTTACTCCAGTTGCTGGATTCATGCCATGTGAAAACTAGAAGAATATTTATGTAAGCAGAAGAAGAGAGTGCCTGAGCATACGTCGAATTTGATGCCTTGCTGCTCGAAGATTCTTTATTCTTTACGACGGAATTGTCCGATGGTAAATTTTCTATAAATTGTCTGCCCCCCTTGTTTCTGTGAAGATATTACTTGCTTGACCAATAGGCATACTTCTTAAGTTGGTCCTGTTTTCTTCATCCGGTTAGTTCTACCTACCTGCTTTTACCCTTGATGCTTAATATTTTGACAATGGACTTCTTATGAAGTCCATGCTGTTCATGCATTCCAACCGTTGTAAGGTCATCCAGAAGGGTTTGAAATTCATTCACCAACTTGTGACTAGCAATGACTGCATTGAATTAGTCTAATATTTATTTTTTGGTCAAGCTCCTTGTTATTGACTTAGAAAAATGTGGCCTTGCTTTGACATTCCCATAACTTGAAACCGCACTTCATCTCTACCAGTCTTTACCTTTGTTGTATGTCCTGATTGCGTAGTTTTTTTCTCATCTGATATCTGTAGCCAATAGTCTTTTGTTATTCATGTTCTCAATTAGAGCTTCGAAATAGCTAACAGCATGGGCAAAACTAGAACCTTATATATGTGTCCCTCGTATTATAATTGGTTAGCTGTCGTTAGGTGCAGGCTTTTATTGCCAAAAGTTCTTCATTGTCTTTTCTTTGCCAACTCATTCACCTCTTTATAAATGTATAATTAATGCAGTTGCTATTGTACAGGCCGTTTGTGACACAAGCCTGTAGAGCTTACCAACCGTTTGGAAGTTCCAAGTGGTGCTATTATCAGCAACTGGCCCTTTACATTATTGTTATGATCGAATTTACATTTTGGGTGTCTTGCGGAAAGCTTTTATTTCTTCAGTATTTTTAACCTCTCATATTTTTCTCTCGTTTTTTACTTTTTACCAAGCTAAACACAACAATTACAAGGGATGCGACTAGAGCTGACCCTGCAACGATGATTGGAATACGCATTTTCAACTGTTTTTTCTCTTGCTTTGCCTCCTTGCTCGAATCTTGATGTGTCACCTTCTGTGGTGAATTGCATTCTTCTCTTGCTTCTTTAGTTTCATCTTTTGTTTGGAAACTTTTTCCTTTTTGATCAACTTCTTTTTCTTCATGCTCGTGTGCAGGGCTTTGCAAATATGGAATTTCTATATCTTCAGGTTCTTTCAATTCCCGAGTGTTTCTATATGTTTCCAGCTTCCCCAGCTCCGCTCGAGTATGTCGATTTCGCTTAAAATTTTCCTGCTCTAATGTTTGTGCCTCTTGATCAATTGAAGCTTGTGGTTGTGTTTTGACATCTAGTTTCTTTTTTATCATGGTTGCTATATCACCATTATGTTCTTCAGCCTTGCCTTCTCCTTTTTCTTCTTGATGATTGGCTGTTTCTTGTGATGTTCCTTCCGCTACTTCTATTCCTTCCATACTTGTAACTTTAGGGACCTTTATTTGTCCATTCATATTTTCTTTTGTGCCCTCATACTCTGTAGCTTTTGTTGCTCCTGTTTCTAGTTGTTCACATTCAGAGTAGTCATTGGAACCTCCATCGGTATCTTCCATCTCATTGCCCTTCAGCTTCTCGATCTCTTCTGGGGTTGTTTCTGCTGCATATTCCATCTTGGAAAATGCTTCCCGCTTGGCATTTTCTCCTCCAAATTCTCCATTTCCATGAGTATCTTCAATTAATTTGGTCTCTTTGCCCGTTTCCGGAGTCTCAAGGTCTGTAGGTGTATGTGGAATCGCCTCAGCTTCAGAATCCTGAGATTCAAACGTGGCTTCGCCAGCTTCCTTTTCCTTCACTTCTTGAATTCCTACTCCAAGGATCCCCTCCTCCAATTTGGGCATCAAAATCTTCAAAATGGACTTTTCATCATTATAAGTGGCCTTGATTTCATCCAAAATCACACCATCTGGAATTCGAAAGATCTTCTTGAACCTCCTTGTCTCTGTTTCTTTCTTGTACGTCCATCTCGTAATCTCCATTTTCTGAACAGGTTGTCCCCAACTAATCTCGATCCGAGTACCGCTTCCATTGATAGTTATCACAATGTCGTCTCTTGCAAAACCTGCAACAGGAAAATGAGAGAAATGAGAGAGAGAGAGAGAGAAAGAGAAACAATGGATGGATGGATGGATGGATGGACGGACCTGGGAGTTTGGCAGTGAGAAGGAACATGGAATTGGTTTCATCAGAGAAGAAAGAATGAGTGGAAGTGGTCTTGAGCAAGTGAAGCTCAAAGGTTGAGGAAGGATCATCCTCTCTGGTAGGGCTGATCTTAAGTTCAAAATGTGAGGAATCATCCATTTTGTTGATGAAAAATGGATGAGTTAGAGGGAGTTTTATAAGAAGGAAGAGAGTAGGGGCAACAAGCAAAGGTGGGGTTTAGGTGAATATAATAAGTGACTAAACAAACTAATAAGTGGTTGCTTCATTCATTCATTCACATGGATTTTGCATACAACACTTATTCCTTACTTTTGAAGATAGGTTTGAAGGAGACAATGGTTACCTTTGCCTTGGCGGGAAGCTACAGCTCCATCACCATTGATGATAAGCTTGATCATTCCCCCCTTTTTCTCTCTTTCTCATCTTTTTTTATTTGATTTGATATGAAGGTAAGTTTGGGTGTTTGGGCTCAAGCCATAGATATTATTGACTGAAATATTTGATAAAAGAAATTCCAATAAAACCGTAGTCAATATCACTTAAGGAAAAAAGTATGACCCAACTTACCATGGGGAATGACAAAGGCGAAATACAAGATTGAGTTAGTGAAAAGTGTAAAATTTGAGAAACTCTAGTCTGACCCCTAACCTCTTATTTTGTGCACACCCTTGCCTTGACTTCTCTATGTAATCCTCATTTGAAAAGAATTAAAGTAGCATGAATATGTATAAAAATGCTGAATAAGTGCTTCCTTTTAGTTCTTAATTTGTTCTTAAGTATCATGTCATAGGTCCATTTATTCATTCATTCGATGCCTTGTTCATACTTGGGAGTTCATTTCTAAGTTACAAGCTTTTTTTAGGCTATACCTTAGGTTTACGTGGTTATACTCTTTGTAAGACATTTTGTAGAAACTACTAGTGATTAAAATCTTTGTAGGTGGCTACTGCTTTATTGTGATATAGATTTCTTGGAATGAAAACTTTTGTAGGGTGGAGGGGTATTGAGAGTAGACACTAAACCATTTATTCCTGAAATATCTAATAATTTATTCTAAAAATATCTATATCTTTTTAAAAAAATAGTTAGATATCTTTATTTCTAAAATATCGGAATAATTTTTTTCTAAAATATATAGGTATTTTTATTACCAAAATACCTAAATCATTTTTCTAAAATATATACAATGGGCTCATATAATTATTGGGTTTAACCCTATCGGGCTAGTGATTATATTTTAAGACTCTCCCCATCTGTACAAGTCCTCATTCGTTGCACCATGTCGAAAACTCTCATGTTTGTCAGCCACTTGGTCATCTGTTTTGATCTGTTGTATCTCGATTTTTTCTTCGGGACTTTTTCTCTAATGAAATGATAGTGCACCTCCACATGCTTTATTCTAGCATGACACACCGAATTTTTTGCTAGGTGAATTGCAGATTGGTTTGTTGCAATGAAATGGTATTGGATGGTCAATTTTCTAATACAAATCCTTGAGAGTTTTAGCTATGTACTTTCTTGAGCTGCTCCAATCGTTGCTCTGTACTCCGTTTCTGTAGTTGACAATGATACTGTTGGTTGTCTTTTGCTACACTTAGAAACTGTTCTCGAATCGACCTTGAATACATACCTAGTGATTGATCTTTGGGTATTGTGGTCTCCTACATAGTCAGCATCACAGTATCCAGCTAGCTTGTAGTCTTTACTTTTTTTTTTTTTTTGTACAAAAGACCATAATCGATTGTACTTTTGACCTAACGCAAGATCTGTTGAGCTGCATCTAAATGTCTTCAACTCCATTTTCAAATTCATTTGGTTGGTTCATGTAGATCTCTCGGTCCAACTCTCCATGCAAGAAAACATTCTTCATATCCATCTGTCATAATTTTCAATCTTTATTTGCCACAAATATTAGAGGAATTTGTACGGCAGTGATCTTTGCCACTGGTCTAAATGTTTCATCATAGTCTAGTTCAAATTGTTGAGAGAACCTTGAAGCTATAGTCCGAGCCTTGTATCTCTCATTGGTCCATCTAAGAGACACATTATTTTGTAAACTCACTTGCAAGAGATGCGTTTGATATCTCTTGGTCTAGGCACTAGTTCCCAAGTTTGGTTTTTCTCCAAGGCTATAATTTCTTCCTCCATTGCCTACTGTCAAGCCGTATTTTATGATACTTCTTTATATGTTTTTAGCTCTTCAACTTCGTCTTCTATAATAGTTGTATTGACATACTTTGGATTTGACTTTTGAATTCTTTCTGGCTGTCTAAGTTGTCGAGGTGCCTTTTCCTTTTCACCGAGTTCACTTGATTGAGTCACTTCTTTCTCTCCAACGTTAGTGTCACTTGGATCTCCAGACACATCAACACTTAAGCAAATGTGTAAAGTTTGCTCCCCCGTCTTTTGTGGGAGAATTTCTTCAATGTTGTCCAAGTCTGGTAATACTTTTTCTCTAAGAGCCACCTTGCTTCCATTGCACCACTCTAATCGTCAATCACGTGGGAATGATCCAGCCATCATTGTAATCAATATGCTCTCTCATCATCACCATGAACGCTAGCTCGTCTTTTTCTATGGCACATAATGCCTCCGCATCCCATTCATCCTCCTCTTCCTTTTTGGAGATTTCCACATTGCTTTCAATAGACTTTTTCTTAGACCAACAATCCCTAGACATGTGACCCTCTTCTCGCAATTATAGTAAATACTTTCAAATCTCTTCCCTTAAAAACTCTTGGTGTCGTTCTTTCGAGCTCTCCAAGGTTGTGTAGTTCCTTGCTGACTTCTTTCTTTGTCACAATTTTTGTATTCGCGTGGCTTAATGCTGCTTTGACTTTTACTTGTGTAGAGCACTTCTTCTTCACTCTTTGATGTGAGGCCTCCCATTTGCTTAACCATGACTTTTTGGCTGACTAGCAAATTTTCAAACTCTACAAGTGATGGTTGAGTGGACTATTCTTGTACAACAATTACGAAACTTCTATATCTTGGTCGCAATCTGTGGATAGTGATTTTCTTCATTCAAGCTTCTCCAATGACGGACTTCCGGTCTAGTTTAGTGATTTCCCAGCAGACCGACTTGACTTTGTGGAAGTGTTGATCAATCGTCATGTCACGTTGTGAAATTGCAACAACTCGTTCTCTAGAAGTTGTAACCTTGTATTGTTCTTCTTTGAGAACAACATCATGAACGTGTCCCATGCTTCTTTCAATGTCTTGTCATCCCAAATATGCTCTAACATCTCTTCTTCGATCGTGGTCTTCAAGGAAAATATTGCTTTGCTTGATTTGATTCTTCATTTGTGTAATGCGCCATTAGGATCCTCTTTTGGCAGTGTAGTTTCACTCCCACCAACGACCTCCCAAAGGTCTTGTTTTTGTAAATAGGACATGCATGTTACCCACGTGTTGTAGTTGTTATTAGGTTTCTTAATTTCTCCAATGATTTGGAAATCACCATCATGTTTGTTATACCTCAGTAATACCAAACAAGTTTTTTTGGCACAAAACTTAGAGTCACAAATTACTCAGAACACAAAAGAAATTCACTCACTAATAATCATAAGAAATCATTTTTAACGTGGAAAATCAAACAAAGCTACAACCACATAGTATACTAAGAATTTCAAGAGATCAGACAACCTACACCAACCTTGTTCTGATACCAGATTTTTTAATAAAACTTTTTGTGGGAAATACTTGTACTCTTTATTACACCAATCGAGAAGAGATTATAAGATACTTTATAGAAACTACTACTCTTGTTGTGCTTGGGATTTCTTGGAATTAAAACCTTGGTAGGCTGGCTACTACTTTGATGTACTGAAAACCTTGGTGGGCTGGAGGGGTATTTGCAGTAGATATTAGACCATTTATTCCTAAATAGTTAATTATTTATTTCTATAATATCTAAATCCTTTTACTACAATAGTTATGAATTTTCATTCTTACTCAATTATTTGCCTAAAATATCTAATTATTTTTATTCCTAAAATATATATACGAACCAAAGATATACAAATCTCTTCCACCTTCTTTGGAGAATAAAACACATATCCAGAGAATTCTCGAAACTCTTCTCCTCCAATCCCTTTGGAATTTTCTGTCAAGAGGCTCCCACAAATTTTGATCTTGTGTTCGAGTTATAGCAAGGAAGAACTTGTGGGATATGAAAAACTTTTGCATGGTTGGAATACTTCAGTAAATCTTGCAAGCTAGGGTTTCTATAAAGGTAGAGATCTATTTATTGTTTTGTTTTAATTCTTAATAAAAATCAAAATGGTTTCCAATGCTTCCTCTACATGGATTAAGAGTTCATTCCCTCCAAGCTCTTTCTTGCAGCATGATCTTTGAGTTTCATGAAGAAATTGATGCCAAATACTCATTGTATGAAGTTGGAAGGATTGACGAGGGTGACCATCGTGTCTTCTTCTCTTGTTTTGGGGGAAGACAATGATGACGTGGTTGGTTCAATTGAACTGGTCACGCCATCAACCCTCTCTCAAATTAAACCTATTTATAATTGGTTATCAAAAAATTCTTGATGCCTTCAAAAAAAAAAAATAAACTCAATGATGGATCTACCAAAGAAAATTTGGAGCAATTTAGATACTGTGAGCTCGAGAACTGAGGACCAGAACGTCAACGATGAGGTGAGTAGCTAATCTGGACTTTTCTTAAGAAATATTTGTTGGAACCACTTGGATTTCAATAAGAACTCTAAGTCAAATAAAGTTTATAGGATTATGGAAGAATTAAATCAAGAATCGACCATTTTGCTTAGAAATTAAGTATCATTGACATAATCCACTAAATGAATTCTTTTGTTCATGAATTTTTATCCTAGGCATAATATGAAATGTCAAGGCTATATATATAATTTGATTGTCATTGGATGATGTTAGGTAGCCAAACAAGTAATAGTGTGAAATGATCATAATGCCCCTATGGTAACATATTTTTGGTCCATGACTCAAATGATCCCCAAATGTTATGAAACTTTATAATAGAAATTATTTTATGATATATAAAGATTATATAACGTCCTAGAACCATTGGATCATGTTTGAGGCTTGAGCCAAGTTTAGGGTGGAAAAAGAACAAGAAGCCCCTCAAGTTTTAAGATATTTCAAAGTCCAAACACTCTCCAAATGACTCAACGATTTAAGTATGGTCTATTTGTGAAGACATGAAGGTTTACCTCAGATTTTAAGATCTTTGGATCAAGTTTAGAACCTAAACAGTTATAAGTTAAGGCGGAAGGAAAATGACAAAACTACCCATAATGACTCCCTAAACGTGATCTTTCTATAATCTTCAAGAAATATGTTATGATCTTACGACTGTTACTCTGAAATGTTCATAACTTA